GACAGACAATACATCTTTAATCAGAGGTTCTTGCTTACAATTTAAAAAGTGAATTCACTAATAAAATTATCTTTGTATCATTGACACAGATTCGTAGATGTACTGTACCTGGTATTTGAATATGTGACCATCCATTTGTGGGCTTAATTGCACCTAGGCCTCCTTCAAGGGGAGGAAAGAATGGTCTAGACATAACTTGCATGGCTAGCTCAACTGAGCCATACTCTAGGCAGAGTCTAGTCAACGGGTTTCCTCCTAGCTTAGCTCCCAGGTCGTCATAGGCAGCACTTCGATCACTACAAAAGAAACCTTTTGCAGGTGCGAGTACCTAAAATGAAAATCAGATGTTAAACTTATTAAATGCAGCAACATCCAATTATTATAATGCAAGATGTCTCAAAATGTATACTGCATGTATTGAATTGTTCAAATACATCAAAATTTCTGACCAATTTTGGTGATTATCTCAATAAAATCTAACTAAAATTGTAATTCATTTTGTTGAAAGGACAGACCTGACATTTTCTTTGTTTTAAGGCCAACTCAGACAGTGTCGCATGTCGGGTCTGAGGTTTGCATCAGGGAAAGTTGCGCCATAGAATATTAAACATGTTTTATATTCTCACAACGACCTCAAGACTACCCCCATAAATCATGTCGGGCTGTGTCATACAACACTACCTGAATTGGCATTTACTGGTCATATTCAAACATTCACTTTAATTCCTTTTTTTTTTCGGAATTAGCGCTTTGTATAAACCAGAAAAGGTATGGTACAAAATACCTGGACATTACATTACATTCAAATGAATGATACAGATGATGTCATCATCAAACTGTAATACCATTAAGTAGTAGTAGTTGATGAAAGGTTTCTGAGAGTTATAAACATTCTGAATAAATATTCTTTTTCTTATAACAGCTTTCACAAAGAAATAAAAATGTCTTCATACAGTATCCTTGTAGACAATGGTCATTAGTACACCCTATGCTGCCTCCGCTATGAGCTATAGGAGTCTTCCAGATCTCAGCACTGTCACTCACACTCCAACAAACAAGCAAAGGTCTAACCTTTCTCCCTCAAACATGTTTACATGTTTCTACTACTATAGCCACCTTGAAGTTAGCTGGCCATACCCCAAAAATCTAATAAAATGTAGTGATGTAGTTAGGTATATTTAGCGCTTTCTACCGAATTCTCGAAGTGCTTGAGGTGTGGACCAGCTCATACAGTAACTTCCATCTCCCCGAAGTATCAACTTCGTGTCTGAGCTCCCGAGTAAACCGGTACCAGCTAACATTCAAATGCTATGGCCAGGATGTCCACTTAGGCCTGTTTTATTCTCATAGTTGTAAGAATAAATTTTACAACTATGCATTATAAATAAAAGCTATGGGTATGCTGGAGTACCTTAGGCATAATGCATTGAAGGCAGGCCGGTGTTACGGTGGGCTGACATGTATAGGTGATGGGAATCCTTCTACTAGCACCAGGACTGGAAAAGCTTCCGAGAGATGTGAAGTTGGAGTGGATGGAGTCTCCACTTGACCGCTGCAAAAACAGTAGTGAAATGAATGAACTGAATTATTAGCAATAACTGTTCCACCTTCAGAACATCTGGTGATCATTGACAACAAAATACACTTGTTTTTATTAATACACTTGTTGTTATTTCTTAACACTAACAGCCTTAAAAACCTAGAGCACAGCTATCAATTTCACAGGTGGCATTAAGATTGTAGGGAACTATCCTCATAGCATACAAGAACATATAATAGGTAAAGATCAATAAATTATTTTCATCATATTTACATAAAAGTTGGAGCCAAAGTAAACATGTTTATTCATCTGATAATAATTACTATACAATAGAGACAAAATGAGTTGTTAAAAGTTTTATAAATGTTTATTTATGGTCTAATCCGGGCTTCCTTTTATTACTTCATTGATCGATACTTGAGCCAATAAAAATTATAATTTTAAGTGATATATCTAACAATACTTAACTGTTAAGACTAATCTTTTAAGTTGTTGATTAATTGCTAGCTAAACTGCTAATTGGAATTGACATAAACAAAATAATTTACTTACTTTTCTTGGAGATCCAGGTGACTTCTTGCCAGAGTGGCTTAGCCTGGTAGGGGATCTATGTGCCTTGCTTAGTCTTATCTTCTTGTGCCAGCCACTCTCTGGCATATAGTAGTGTGTGTGACTTGTGTGACTATATATGTTTGATGTTGGGCTTGTGAAAAGTAAATCTTGAAAAACAGGACTAGATACACGGTTTGGGAAACTTGTTGGCCATCTAGGCCATAACAGTAAACCATCTTTTGGAATGCACTTATTTCTGAATAACAGAGAAAACCATAAGTATTATTATTTAAATAATCTTTAATTAGTTACAAAAAACTGAGTAATAACTCAACACATTTCAAAATTTAAGATGTATTGTCCCCTAAAAATGACAAAAGAAAATCATAAAAAATTATTTTTAAATTAACTTGCTCATTTTGCAGTAAATACAAATTATTAACTTGAGCATAGAAATTATAGAATTTAAAAAATGTGGGTAGTCAATATGAGTTTTTAGTCATTTGCATATATTAAATTCTAGTTGATAGTTTTATTAGAGTTATTATTCATTTTTCTATGATTTGCCACATTAGATTGCAAAATAATGGTGGATGGAGTAGAATTTGTCAGGGAATTTTTAAATATAATCTGATCTCCAATGCTAACAGCAATAGTAACTAAAAAGTGCCCTTCACTTCACAAAACACTATCAATTAGAAAAATAAAAAGTACATAATATGAAGTATATGAAGAAGAAAGTTCAATAAAAATTCAAGCTGGAACTTAATTGGATTTATTTAAACTAAAATTCCAATACTTGCTTAGCATGTATTTTGATCATTATCTTGAAATATCAGTGCAGAAACCTACCTATCATGCAGAAACTAAGTAAAAAATTATGCTTTATGACTTAAGGGCTTTTGTGGTATTTAGGCTTGCACAGAATCGGAGCTTACCCTTCATGAAGATGTCCGTAAATAAAATTATTATATTTATTACCTCAATAGAATACATAGACATTAAAAAATGAAAGTAAAAAGAAAATACTTTGAAACAAGGAGAATATACGGATTGCTGATGAGTGGGGAGGGGGTATACAATAAAGAACAGAGTTCTTGTCCAATTAATGTTTGGAATCCACAAGCGTTAATCACCAAAACAAATAGTCCTGCAAAAAAAACTAAAACATATTTCTTAATAATAAATAAGTCCATTACGAAAAAGCAAAGGGAGAATTCCAGCTATAATTCTATGACAAAAAAATTAGTAAGTTTGTTGCATCGTGGATTTCTAAAACCTATGCTATGGACTTGGCTTAGTTAATCTGATCTGTATAGACGAATCCAAGAGACCTTTTTGAATGGCGCGCTCTTTTGTCACCGCCATTACTGGAGTGGCATTTCCGAAGTTGGAAGATATAATGTCGTGTTGTGTTTATCAACGCAGTACAGTAGTTGTTGAGAAATAGTTTTCTTCGACAGTAGCAGCTGCATAATGCTGTCAGTTTATAATGCACCACACCGCATCTTAGCTCAGTCGGCTAATCTGGTGGTAGCCACTGTGTGTGCGCTGAACCGTGGAGATCTCCAGGTCCCCGGTTCAATTCCCATCGCTGTTTCTCCTTGTGTTTCAGCTAGAGGGCTGAAATACAAGTTACATAGCGCACCGTCTTTCGGATGAGACGTTTAAGCCGTTGGTCCCGTATGCATTTATGGCCCATGTGCACGTTAAAGAACACAGTACACTCTTCGGAAAAGAGTAGGGGATTG